AAAACAATAAAAAAAAACTCACCGGTTCATCCAACGTGTGTTGTAGTTCGTCTTCGGTTTCCTGAAGGATCGTGTTTTCGGGCAACTGAAACAATAAAGGTATAATATAAAATTATATGTTCAGTACTATATATACATTGTACACAGTGTGACTGGTTAGCGGTTAGTGGTTATTAATATATACTATAGCAATACCGCGGCGAGCGACATGCTTGACCACGGTCACAGATCACAGTGTATTGTTGTCTAAACACGAAAAAAAGAAACTCGTTTACAAGCAAATAATAGTGGTTTTCTACTGCTCCGCTTTTCAGTTACGAGGTTTGTTCAAAGTTAAGAGATAACATTAGATATTATCGCAAGTCAATATTGTAAATGGGGGATTATAATAGTGATTTTTTTAATTTTTTTTTTCGAAAATGAGAATATAATAATTTGAATTCGGAATAAATATAAAATTTAATTCATTTGGTAAGCGAACGTGTGTACCAACCACAAACCACACGCGTTAAAATATGTGTTTTGTTTTCAAATTCAACAGGAAGTTTTAATTATTAGTCATCCTAGAGATGTCTAATGTATTTTAGTAAGAATTGCGATCGAAAAACGAACGAAGATTGCGAAAAATATATTAAATTATAAATAATAAAATAAATATCAGATTGGTAATAAATTAAAAATACAGTACTACATAATTATTATTTGACATGACTCGTACCTTTTCGCTGGTTTGCACGTTTTGCGATTCCTGTTCTTCGGTGTTCGGCTGTTCGTCGTCAGCCCGTTCGTCGTCCTGCTGCACGAGTTCTTTGTGGCGTCGTGACGGCGGCGGTCGTCTGTCGCTGTCATCCTCGTCGAGTTCTTCTTCGACCGGCGCCGGCGGCGCAGGGGTGGTAGCCTTTGCCGGTTTCTTCTTCCTCTTCTTCTTGGCCTTTTTTGCTTTGACCGCCGGCCGGGTGGCCGTCTCCTCTTCCTCACCATCACCGATCTCGTCGACGACGACCGCGCCACCACTAATGTCACCGTCGTCCGGCCGCCGGCGCCGGGCCGATTCATGGCCGTGGTGTCGGTCGTCTCGCTCGCGTTGCTTGAGCAGTCTGTTGAATCGGGTCACCAGATCATACTCTGCGGGTGCCAACAGGTGTCGCTGCGCGGTCGGCGGCGCCGGCAGGTTGTACAGGAATGGCACTTGCGTRTACCGGGTGGCCGGTTGTGCTGCACCGTAAGGGGCGTACCGGTGATGTAGGTGCGCTTGGTGACTGGGATACGGCTGCAGCAGTCTCTGATGATGGCTGTGCAGGTGGTGGTGTGGTGGCGGTGGGTAGATTTGATGCACGGCGGTAGCCGGTGTCTGTTTGATCGGGTGGTGACGGTAATGATGGTTGGGTGGTTGCTGGAGGGCCGCGTACTGTTGGTGGGACGTCGAGATCAACGGCGGAGGCGGCGTCTTACCAGTGGCGTGCTGGAGCGCGAACTGGAGTGCCGGTAGGTTGTCCAACAGCGTCCGGTCGTCTGTATCGGCCGCCATGTACGGGAGCTGGTATGCTACCGCGGCCGYCGCCGGTTCCCCATACTTGACGATCCTTGCCACCTGCTGGGCCCTGTGTGGTTTGGGCGGCGCGTACCGTGCCGTGGACGGGTCGTCGTAGGCCGCCGGTTGCAGATGCAACGGGTTCATCAGTATCGGTCCACCGTCGGCGTGCACTACGGCGGCCGTCTGTCCCCACGGCGGACGATCGCCGACGCGTGGATGGTATGCCGCCGTCGCCACGGATGCAGGTTGTTGCAGCCCGTGAGGCTGGTGGTGGGGTTGTTGCTGCTGTTGCTGCTGCATGTGCTGTTGTTGCATGTGCAATTGGCGGACGAATGCGTCGGCAACGGTGCCGTGCACGACGGGTGGCGCGTAATACTGCACGCCGTAGTAATTGTTGGCCCGGGACGACATACTCTTGCTGCTGTCCGCGTACCGGTGGCCGGTGGACGCTAAGGTGGCCAGCGCCGCCTTGGTCGTAGTGTTTGCCGTGGTCGTCTCGTCGTCGTCTGATTCGGCCGTCTGCACCGTCATGTCGGTGTCGTTGCGCGGCGGTCTGGAGTATACGATTTTTGGTTCAGCGCCACATGCGCACATCAACAATACCTGCGCATACTTTAGACAAGGACGGTCGTAAGATAACAATATCATAAGTGCAATAGGAACTTGCTAGTCTAAATTATACGGAACATATCTCATTGATATTTTTTKGTTTTTTACTTTGTAAATGCCAAGAGTTACTAATGGGTGGCTGCTTAATCACACCTTTCATGTCACATCTATTTTTATTTTTTATTTTTTTTATTTTTTCTGTTTTGTTTTGTTTTGTCCATGCTCTCATCAAATAAGCTTATTGTGCTAATATTGTACAGATTGCTTATATCTAATAAAAATTAAAAAAAAAAAATAACTGTAAATAATTTTTAACCATATGGATCTGTATCCATTTCAATACCATTGTATATCTTTAGATCTTACGAAATTGTYATCGATCAAATGGGGACTAGAAATAAACACGGCGCATGGACTTGGGTTTTCAGGAACTTGAACTTTGAAGTTTCAACTTTTATATTGATTTATAACAGTTATTTAAATTAATGTATTGTCTTTATCTATTATCGTTATTTTGTATAAAAATAAATGTGCCTATTTGTATGGGGCTTTCAGATTTGGAAATTGCTGATTCAATTGGCMCTAATATACATACACATATATTATAATCCTCGATAATCGGCAAGTATTGTTTGCTTCGTTTTTCATTCTTTATGGGTTTCTACAGGGCGATTAACGTGTGTATTTTGTTTTAACTCACGAAAATTGAATAACTTTTTTGTTAGATATAGAGTTGCAATGGTTAAATAATTAAAATTGAAACCATTTATTTTTGTTACACAAACTAGCCATGCGATGCTATGGGATTTGAATTAAAAATAATTAACACTTGATCAATTGTGTTTGTTATTCAAATGGATAGCTTACCTATATAGATTCAAAACTTGAACGATATAAATGTTTTCGAAAGTTCAGAGTTTGTTTTTAGTTTGAAACATGTCTAAAAATATTCTTTATGTGCTACAGGCGAATTGCCAATCTCGTTCGAACTAGTTGACGAAGCGAAGTACAGCACCGATGTTGATTTTCCCTTGAACTAAGGTAGAATTGAAACTAAGATATGCCGWTATAGCACCGCATTTTAGGTGTGTTCATTATTTTTCCGTGTGAATTCAACCGGTGTTCAAAATATATAATAAAAACCTTCATTATCTTTTTAAATATGTCCAATAAGTTCTATAAATAAAACAATAATTGTATACTATTCTAATAGAATACATTGCTCATAATGCAATGAACTTTTCAAACTGTTTGACTCAGAATTTGTCTAAAATGTCTCTAAGTTTGAAGTATACCAATAGTTTGTGAATAAATTCAGCCATCACTAAGGATAGCATTTTGTATAATATATTATATTTGGAATATTACGTCCTAGCCAGACGGAAATAATCTCATTGGCCTAAAGGAATGCAAACGGACAATGTAGGATACATAAGTCCTCATTCATACCCTTTCACGACTAAGAAAACACAGAGATACGATTTCTGAAAATACCTTTTGATAGAAACGCGAATATTCATGATTTCGTTTTCCATTTCATCTCCCGGAGCCCCACAAGGCTATTATTTTCTTTTGAATAATATTAAAGTTGCGATCTCCGTATTAAGGCAGYCTGCGATGGTATACCTACGTGAGATCAATGGTTACAGTGGTCCAAGAGTGATAGATATATGTAAAAGTAAGAAAATTATGTTCATAATTAAACCCGAACCATGTTCGGCCAACATTTACAGTCGAGGTAAATTTACATTATCATTTTGCYGTATAAAATATCCTTTTAAAAAAACCTTCTGTACCTCAGGCCGTGAAATTACTGTTTCATAAGTCATACGCGCAGCGCCTATGTGTCCAAAAAAAATCGAACAATACATATGGTTATTGTTGATAATTATTTTATATGCTACACATTACACTATAAAACTAACAACATAATAATATTATTATTTATTTTTTAACCATATTAATCTAACAGATATAATTGTATACGACGAAGGTATATTTATAACATAAATATGTACATATAGTATTATAGATAATATATATGTATAATAATGTCACCGCTATGTGGAACAACTATAGGTACTGTAGGAAACCGACTGGACTGCTATTGAATGGGTTTCGCTAGAAATTTGTCTGGGATCATAAATTCGATATAATATACGAGTATAATAATTATAACATTATTACACATATCATCTACATTCTACATTTCTACCTACTAATTTGTTATCACCGATCCGAACGTCTGATACACATAGGCGTGCTCACAGGGYATGCACGGTATGCCGCTGCATAGTCTGCGGCTTCACTCGAAGGGTCCATGTTTATCATACCAAAGCATTTTTGATAATTATTATATATAGTGTTTAAAAAAACGTTTAAGTTTTAAATTTTCTCGCGACCAGCAAGACAATCCAAACTATAGACGTGAAAACTTTATAAATACGTTAAAATCATTTAAAGACATTCAATATAGTATATACTTAATCTKTAAAAAATAATACATTTTCTTTTAATAAATATAATTAAAATTTTAAATTACTAATTTCTACAATACATTGTTTAATATTCTACTATAAAACTATGTGTGGTTTTAGATTTTGGGGAGCAAAGAAGCTGAGTAGTAAATATTTGAAAAACTTAGATTGTAGATTGATTCCTATATGCGGTAAAAGAAAATGTTTAACGGCTCAGAATCATTTTTTAAAGTAAATTATTTTTTTTTATTTTAAATTCAATAAAATTATGTTGATTATCTTTAGTTGCAATTTAGATTAGGTAATTTTTTTTTTTTTGAGGGCCCTTATTTTTCTTATTGCATAACCTGCAAATAAAGTCTGCGCACGACTATGGTGATACACGTTCGTGCGAATGGCATGACCTAGCCTGGGCGAGTGGAAGAGGGCAGCAGCAGTGCCAGAGTAACAGCAATATAATATCATGATATATATGGGCAATAATATTGTACATTATTATACCATTATCGTATCCGTTTGTTTTACTACATAACATAGCCGAATTTAATATTATTAGAATCTCAATGCTTTGTTTTATTTGCTGAAATTGACCGAAATTCTCGTCGTCCACACAGTCTACCGTTTAAATAATAATAATTGAATAGGTAGACTACGTAAAAATCAAAACAATAAAATAGATATCACAGAAATTGGATCATTTAATATAATAATAACTACGATAAGACGCGTATTACCAGATTATACCACGTTACACAGTTATTGCGGCGGAGGCAAATACAAAATATTATATACATTTTATGA